CTTCTATTCCTGCTCAGGTGCTGGGGATCTCATTTAATTCTTTTTAATATCTTTTTTTTTTTAATTTGGCTAGGCAATGGGGTTAAGTGACTTGCCCAGGGTCACACAGCTAGTAAGTGTTATGTGTCTGAAGCCACATTGGAACTCAGGTCCTCCTGAATCCAGGGCTGGTGCTCTATTCACTGCACCACCTAGCAGCCCCTATTCTTTTTAATATCTTAAAGTGCCAATGTAGGTCCTACCTGGTTTCACTTTGTCTCCCTCTCTCTTGAATAAACAACCCATTTTAATTTCTGAAGTCAAATACACTTGAAATGATCTTTTATAGTAATTCTTTTTTTTTTCTTGCATCTTTGGTCACATATTTATGCGCCCCATTCAGATTTCTGTGGTTCGTTGCTACTTGCAATTTTCCCTTTTCCAGCATTGTCATGTTCCATCATTTGGAGCCACAGAGCCCAGGGCTGGGGAATGTTCCTATGATGTCAGGTATGATCAATGTGTATCTCAGTTTGGCTGAATTCTTTTATGTATGGAAATACACATGTATACATACTTACGTACATATGCTAGTGTTCCAAAAATCAATCCAAATTTAAGTTTTAAAGCTTAAAACATATATATGTGTGTGTGTACAAACATATAAATATATCTACATACATATGCGTAGACTGTATATAGACCATCACATATGCAAACACATATGCATATGTATGTAAGTATGCATGCACATATGTATACACATATATGCAAGGCAACTGGTAGTTCAGTGACTAGAGTGCTCAGTGGGCCTGGCATCAGGGAGATGTGAGTTCAAATCCAGCCTCAGACACTTACAAGCTGTGTGACCTTGGTCAAGTCACTTAACTTTAGTTTCCTCACTGTGAAATGGGAATATAAGAAATAGCACCTAACTCTCAGGGTTGTTGTGAGCATAAAATGAGTTAGTGTTTGGAAAGCACTCAATACAATGCCTAGCACATGGTAGTATTATAGAAATGCTATCATTATTATTTAATAAATGTATATAAATGTGCCTATATATCTATACATATACATACATAGGTGTGTGTCTTCTTTGGTGAGGACCGGAAGGTGAGAGGGATATATACCAAAATGCATATTATGTAAGAACAAATCTTCAAGAATCCAAAAGAAAAGAAAAAAAAAACATTCTTCTTCAAGCCGTAATGAGACATCAGAGAGGAGCTTCAGCCTAGGCATTACTAAACATGGAGTTTCAACAATTAAAAAGGCCAGTCTTAGTCTCTTCATTTTCTAGATAAGGAAACGGAAGCTTATGACGCTTCAGTTGGTCAGTCAGTCAGTCAACAAACATTTATTAAGAGCTTACCATGAGCCAGGCACTGTGGTAAGTGATGTGAATACAAATACAAACAGAAATTCAATTCATTCTAATTAAATTAGCATTTATTTAGCACCTACTATGCTGCCAGCATTGTGCTAAGTGCTGGGGATGCAAAAAGAGAACAATTTAATTCAATTCAATAAACTTTTATTAAGTGCCTACTATATGCCAGGCACTGTACTAAGAGCTGGGGATATAAAAAGAGGCAAAAGACAGTCCCTGTCTTCAAGGAGCTCACAATATAATGGGAGAAGATAGCATGCAAAAGAGCTGAAAGGTGGGAGAGAGGGACCCTTTGGGGGTGGCATGGGACACGGCAGAGAAAGTCCCTTGGAGATTGGTCAGGAGTGAAGTCTGGAGAGGCATGAAGACATCTTTGGCCTGGGCCTTCTCCTGAAATGGGAGCTCCTGGAGGGAACCAGTCAGTCATAAGGGGGTGCCTCAGGGGTGAAAAGCACTTCCAATGTGAGTAGTCCAGTGAGCTTCCAGACCAAAGAGGTTCCTGTGGCAGGGCCAAAGTGAGTCAGCATCATGTGCAGCCTGGAGGGTGCTGAAGGGGAAGTGACCCCTGCAGGCTATGGGCTCACAAGTGCCAGAGCCCGGAAGTGTCCTGGGTCTGATCTCCTGTACTTCTCCATTGCCCTCCTACATGTGGCATTGGGCAGTTCAGATCTCTTCTGAGAAGTGCTGACTTCAAACAGAAAAACAAACCACCCAAATGACAACAATAGCAACACATTCATGAATGGGGGAAGAAAGGAAGGTCTGTGCTCAGTTCCCTGTTAGCGGCAATGGGGCACTTGTCCTGTGTTCCCTCATGTCCTAAATGGGACTTATATTTTACTGAGGGAAGGGAAGAGAGACAGCAGCTATACAGATAAGTAAACATACACCATATACACACATATGTACATATAGATGTAACTATTAAATAACACACATATTATTTTCATTGGAGGGATGGAAGAGAAATGGATTTATATTAATACTTTTTTAAATAAAATGATTTTAAAGAAGTGGAAGACGTGGAATGTCACATGTATTTTCACATGAGGTCACTGTATTATTAATTTTGATTATTTTTTTTTTTACTGTCTTATGGAAGGTCTCTCATGCAGTGAGGGTAATATGTAAATATTTGTAATGTAAAACAAATTGTATCAATAGTTTACTTAAATAAAGTAATTTCAGTAGGGTGGGACTAAACAGCTGTGGGGATAAAAGTCTCTTTTAGAAGGGGGCACATAAATGTATACTTTGAGGGATTCTATTAATCCCAAGATTATGAAATAAGGAGGGGAAGCATTCTGGATCTACTGCGCAAAGGCAAAGCAGTGGGATTTTTCGTAAGGGAGGATGCATGATGAGCAGGTGCGTTGTCAACAGACCAATTCTACAGAAAGGTCGCGTTAGAATTCCAAAGGCACTGTTTTTTTAACATGTTACTCCCCTGCTTAAGAATCTGCTCTGCCTCCCTATTGCTCCTCCCCAGAGCTAAGCTCCTTTCCGCCTGGTTTTGTAGGTCTTGGTTCAAACTGTGCCCATCTGTGCCCATCCTCTCTTCTCCTCCCCACACTTGCCAACTCTGGCTCCTGTTTCTGTGCTTATTGCTCCTATTAGAAGATAAGCTCCAGAGGGTAGGGAATGTCTTGCTTACTTTGATTGGTGTTTCCAGTGCTTAGGCCAGGGTCCAGAACAGCAGAATCACTTACTGAATGCTCAGTGATTCATTAGTACTTGCTAGCATTCAAAAGGATGTGCTGTTGCTCGAATGCCAAATTGCCTAAAAGACTCTTTTATGGAGAATTCACACAAGGCAGGCACTTACAGGGTGGTCTGAAGAAGCAATACAAGGACACTCTCAAGGTCTCTCTGAAGAATTTTGGAATTGATTGTATGATTGCCAGCATGGGAGATGCTGGCAAAGGACCTCCCAGAATGGCATAGCTGAATCAAAGAAGGCATTCTGTTCTATGATTGAAGTAGAAAATTACAGGAGCTCAAAAGAAATGAGAGATGTGCAAATTTAAAGCCATCTGCACTGCAAATGGTCATACGGACTACTTGTGCCGAACTTGTGGTAGAGACTTCCAAGCTCATGCTGGTCTGATCAGCCACAGTTGGACACACTGGACCTTGACTCCAGCATAGCGATGTCACTTTGGTCCTGTTTGAGAAGGAAGGACAACAATCAACCAACCATGCACCTACAGTATAGCTTCCTGACTCCGGATTCAGTACTCTACCCATAATGTTATGCTGCTTCTCACTGTGCTTTTTATTGTCTTCCTCTTTCTAGTCTCAGTGCACATTACTTCTCTTCATCCACTTTCTATTACAGACAAACTCATCTACTTCCTCTTCCTTGAACTTGGCCTAGGCTCTCCTCTCCCTGTGCCTCTCCCACCCCATGCCTGGAATGCTCTCTCTTCATCTCTACCTCTTAGAATCCCTATGCTCTTTCAAGTTTCAGCTCCTGTGCCACTTCATTGGAAAGGTTTTCTGACAGTCACCCCCACCCCCACCCCTACTGTTAGTGTTCCCACTCTTCTAAAAACTGCTGTATTTATCTCTATGTCCATGTGGTGTATCACCCAGAAGAATGTAAGCCCCTTGGAAGCAGGCACTAGGTTTCATTTTACTCTTTGTATCTTCAGGGCCTGACTATCTATCACAGTGCTTTCCACAGTAGGTGCTTAATAAATGCTCATGGAATTAAATTGGGTACCTGAATAAGTCATTATCAGAGCAATAAGAATTCACGTTTATATGACATTTTAATATTTGCAAAGAGATTCAAAGAATTAATTTTCTTTGACTTTGAAAATAGCCTTGTCTACATCTATATATCTATGCCACAGCAGACTGTGAGCTCTTTGAGGTCAGGGGCCTTTCACCTTTGTGTCTGCAGCACTTAATATAGGGCTTGGCACATCGTGGGTACTTAATAAATCCTTGACTGTGTCTATATCCATGTCTATGACTATGTCTACATCTACATCTATATTTACTAGATTTCTACCTGCAACTACAGGTGTAATCTACATTTTAATCTCCATTTCCAGCTTCATCTCCATCCCCCCTCTCTGTAGGATGTTATAAGTATGGCACGAGCAAAGAAGTATGCTGGTAAATGTTTAACAATTCACTTACCAAAACATGTATGCCTGACACACTTTGAAGTTTAATTTGCATCACTGATATTTTTTCCACTTTCTTAAGTCTAGACAATCAATAAAATAATAAATGAAGTCCCTATTTGTAATGTTTGCTAATTTCCAAGGTGTAAATGCCTACACTCCAAATGTAATGATTTGGCTTTCCTAAGCTTCAGCGCTCTTCTGAATGAGAAACTGGTTTGTCCATTTTCTCAGTGATTATCTGCCTGTGATCATCTCTACTCTACTGTACACTTCTCAGCCACATTTCAGGTCTGCTCATTCTTCTCTTACCTTTGTCCTTTTCCTTTGAATGGCACATACATCATTTGCCACTCAAGGAACTCTTTGCCCTCTCAGTAACTTTGTTTTGCATGGACTATGTGGCTGGTAATAGCCAATGAGTATTGGCACAGGAAGGCTGTGGAGAAATGCTTGCTTCTTGACATTCTAATGCTTGTGAATATTTGCAGGAGAAGTATGAAGATCAGGTGCAATATGAAATTGATTTAAAAGGAAAGACTGTGGTCCTTCACTTGGAAAAAAACAAGTAAGTAAATGCTTCTGATGTCTATGATCAGATGTCTGCCACAGCCAGGATGGCTCATGTTGAAAGTTCTAACCCAGCTTCTAGGTGCTGGGGCACTAATGGGGTGGTTTCCATGGACACACACCTGGCCAAGTCATGCTCATTTGTGGTTTCTAATAAAATAACTCAGATTAATTTTTATAATCACTTCATCAACAAACATGCATCAAGCCTGAGCTATACTGAACACTACAGATGCAAAGCTCCCAGAAACTAATCTTATATGTACCATTAGCTTTTATCAGGGCAGCTAAGTGATGCAGTGGGTAGAGCACTGGGCTTGGAATCAGGAAGACTGATCTTCATGAGTTCAAATCTGGCCTCTGACACTTACCAGCTGAGTGACCCTGATTAGAAGAACACAAATTTCCACTCATCAGGGACTCTAGAGGTCACCTAGTCTGACCGACTCATTACATAAAGTACTTTATATGCACTCTAACGTCAATTAGAATGTAAGCTCCCTGAGGGTACACAATCTTTTTGATTTTGTTTCAATTATCCAGCTCTCATCACTGGGCCTGGTGGGCAGTATGTGCTTCATCAGTTCATGTTGATTGACTGGCAGATGGATGGATTCACCCCTCCATGGTGCTAGCTCTATCCTCTGGGACCAAGCAAAACACTCCAATCCCTCTTCACACATGACAGGACAACAGCTACAACTCTTCTCTTTGTGTCTATTCCCAAGGAAGAGTGGAAGGAATATTCATCTTGAAATCAAGTAAAGTGGGTTTATATTTCAGCTCTAACACCTAGAACCTCTGTGGCCCTGACTTAACTAGCCCCAGTCTACTCTCTAACACTATAGATCAGAGAAGAGGTGTTCATATGCATTTGTGGAGGGAGTTTTCTCACTGGGGGTTACCTAAATCAATGAAGTCACAAGCCTAGGCAAAACAATAAGCTACAAACTACTTGTCTCACAAGTTTGTTTTATATTCCCCCTGAAGAAAATGCTTAATAAATGTAAATAGTTTATTATATTCATTCTTCTTAATTTTGTTACCATCTTCTCTTTTAAATTAGCCTCAGTAACCTTTGCCATTGTCCTTTCTTTAGGGAGCTCCTGTCCCCAGATTATGTGGAAGTTCAATATTCATCCACAGGTGAATCAGTCACTTCGAGCCCTCAGATCATGGTAGCGTATCACAGCATCTTGCCGGATGGGGATTCACTCAAGTCAAACTGTTTAAGGGCTGGGTACAGGGATTCTCAGTGGATAAGCTGATGTATCTATACTGGTGGTGGTGATGATTCATTCATTTATTTATGTTTTGTTTAGTTTATTAGGAGGCAATTCGGGTTAAGTGACTTGCCTAAGGTCACACAGCTAGTAAGTGTCTGAGGCTAGATTTGAACTCAGGTCCTCCTGACTGCAGGGCTCTATGCACTGTGCAACCTAGCTACCTGGATTCATTCATTTATTCAAAAAGCATTTATTGAGGACCTGCTAGGTGCCAAGTGAGAGATGGTATGGCATAGAGAGCAGAGAGTTGTCCTAGGAATCTGGAAGACCTAGGTTCAAGTCCTGTCATTGGCACATACTAAATGTGTGATCCTAGGCAAATTGTTTAACCTCTTAGTGTCCCAGGCTACTCTGTAAGACTACACCAGGCACCTTGTTGGAGTTCTGGGTATACAATTAATCAGCATTTTTTAGTCCTTATTCTATGTCAGTCCCAATCTTGAGCACTGAGGATGCAAAGATGAAATGGCTGCCTCTGCTCTGAAGGAGTCTATGTTCTACTGGGGATTATGACATGACCACAGATAAGTGACCCTGGGAGCTTTTGAGAATCATGTGGTCCTATAAGAAATATATAAAAATGTCCCACGTGACCCACTATGTCTCAATTAGCCTGAGCCAGGCTTCCCTTTGCTCCTCAGCCAGTCACCTTGCTGGGGTGGGTGCACATACCTTCTACCTGACTCCACCTTCTTCTGTTTCTGAAACCCCGATCAAATCAATTTTGCCATTGCTATTGGAAAAGTTTGGTCCAAGGGTGAGGAACCTGTGGTCTTGAGGTCACACGTGGCCTTCTAGGTCCTCAAGTGCAGTCCTTTGACTGAGTCCAAGTTTTACAGAAGAAATCCTTCTATTAAGGGAATTTGTTCTGTGAAGTTTGGATTCAGTCAAAGGGACATACTTGAGGACATAAAGGACCATATGTGGCCTTGAGGTTGCAGGTGCCCCACCCTTGGGTCAGTCTATTCCCCTATAGTTCTATGCACCACCCTTGTAACTTGTCACTTTCCATAATAAAACATCCCTTCCACACCCCTACTCTCCCCTATGTGTCATCTCTGCCATTAAAACATGAGCTCCTTGACAGCAGGCAAGATTTCAGCCTTCGCACTTGTTCCCCAGTGTTTAACACATAGTAAATGCTTAAAGTTTTTCCCTTACTATATCATTCCTTCCTACCTTCTTTCCTTCCTTCTCTACTTTCCTTCCTTATTTCCTTTCCTTTCCTTCCTTTCCTTCCTTCCTTCCTTCCTTCCTTCCTTCCTTCCTCCCTTTCTCCCTTCCTTCCTCCCTTTCTCCCTTCCTTCCTTCCTAACTCCCTTTCTCCATTCCTTCCTTCCTTCTTTCTTTCCTTCCTTCCCTCTTTCCTTCCTGCCTCCTTCCCTCCCTCTCTCCCTTCTTCCTTCCTTCCTCCTTCCTTCTTTCCAGTGTAAATCAGAAACAATACTTGAACCCAGATCTATGTGACTCCCACGACAACACTCTACCCACAGAGCTGTGTTGAGGACATTATCTGCCTGACCATTGCCTTGTAAATCTATTTTTCTATGTCTTTGAAGACACTAGTCTAAGACTCACCATTTATAAGCCTCTCTGTCTTTGCCCAGTATGGGCAGTTTAATAATAATAGCTAACATTTATATAGTGCTTCCTGTATGCTAGGTACTGTGTTAAATGCTTTCCAACTACTGTCTCATTTGATCCCTGTAATGACCCTCTTGTGGTATTATTACCTTCATTTTACAGTTGAGGAAATTGAGGGAAAGAGAAGTTAAATGACTTATCCAGGGTCTCATAGCTAGACAATGTCTGAAAATGGTTTTGAACTAAAATATTCCTCATTCCAGGCGTAGAACTCTATCCTCTGTGCCATCCAGCTGCCTACAATTCATGGCACACAACAACGTAAGGTCTCTCAGTCTATTTCCACTAAGCTTTAATCCCCCAAGGAAACCATTCAGAGAACCTGACTTCCAGTAATGACATTGAACTTGCATCTCTCCTAGGCTGCAGCTCTTACTGTTTCATACCTGCCAGGAGGCATTGGTTGGATCCTTTAGTGGAGAGAAGCAATGTGTTCTTTGGTATAAAGGGCTAACCCTGAAATCAAGGAGACCTAAATTCAAAGCCCCCTTCAAACACTCACAAGTGTGCGACGCCTGGAAAATCACTTAACCTGCTTGCCTTATTCAACTCATTTCGAAAATGAGAGGGTTGAACACAATGGCAGCTAAGGTCCTTTGAAGTCTGTGATGCTATGAGTTGAGCTTCAGTAGGTCCACTAAAGAGAGAAGAGGAGGATTAATGCACGAAAAATCATTTGGCTGAAGTTAAGAAATATAGAGGAACGAAGATTTTCAGTGAAAATCTGTGTGTGTGTGCCAGGGCAGGGAGTGCTTGGTTGGTTGGGAACTGTGATTTTATCTACGTAATGAACTACATTTCCTCTGTAACTTGTAGTCATAGAGAATTGCATGGAGCTGAGAAAAGTTACTTGACCAAGGTCATTCAGCTAGTATGTCTAATAAACGGCACTGGAAACCAGGTCTTCTTGAATGTAAGGCTAGACTTCTACCAACCAATCAGTAAGTCAACCAACCAGTACTGGTTAAGCACTGATTATGTGCCAAGCAGTGTGCTAGGAGCTGGAAATGCAGAGAATGAAGAAATCTCTATTCCCACTATACTTTGTCTCTTCTCTAGAGATGAGCTAATTGAGTAATTCATACAAGATAAAGGTGCCTTGATTTCAATGGAAGGGAAAGTTAGCCACAGTTAGGTATTTGATGCTTGTAGCTATTACCCAGCCCTGAGACTAGAAGTTAGGGAAGTTAGGCAGCTGCCCAGGGCTCATGTGTGTTGGAGGTGGCAGTGAAGGAGTCATAGCCTGGGTTATTTGCAACTGTGTTTTTGGCCATGTAAATATTTTTCCTCATTTTATTCTTGTTTCTAAATCTACATTCAGTAGTTTCATATGGAAGAACATGTGGGTACAATTAGAATCACTTTTCTCTCCTTTCTTCCCCAGGAAAACTGCTATTACCAAGGACACATCCTGAATGAGGAGATGTCTACAGCCAGCATTAGCACCTGTCGGGGTCTAAAGTGAGCTCTTTGTAGTGGCTAAAGGGCAAATCTGAATAAGATGAATGATGTTTCCTATGTCCAATTAACAAATCTATTTGGAAGCACTGTGCCATTGTGAGAGAGTATCAGCATGAGAAATAGAAGAACTTGGGTTCAAGTTCCATCTTTGACATGTCTGTCCTGGGCAAGTCACGTAAACTCCCGGTACTCTAAGCCACTGATAAAGATGATATAATATAGGAAGCACTAATCCACACTTGACCTTCCCCATATTGATGAAAGATCAGGAGATCTTAGTGGACTGTAAGCTAAACGTGATTCACCAGTGAATCATCTTTCCTCCCCCCCAAAAAATGCTAATGAAATTTGGGGCTGCATTAAAGATATAGCTTCTATAAAAAGGAAGATTAGAGCCCCCTGTTCTCTGACCCCATATGACTACATCTGGAGTTGTTTGTTCATTTCTGGGTGCCTCAATTTAAGAATGGTAGACAAACTAGATAGTGTCCAGAGGACAGCCAGGATAGTTAAGGGCCTTGAGTGCAGGATATATGAGGATCATTTGAAAGAACTGGAAATGTTTGATTGAAGACATGGTTGGATATGGTTGAGTAATGGTTGTGTAACTCATTAGCTCTTTGGGTAGGTCATTTTATTTTTGGACAGCGCAGATAGAAAACTTAACCTTATATCAAATAAAAATATTCCCTCCCTCCCCTTCCACCAAATATCATCTAAACCCTCTTCCACATGACAAAAGTTCAGATATTTGAACTGTATAAAAAGGATTGTAGGAAAGGTACAGACTGAGCAGTAAAAAATCAAATAAAATAATGTTTGGAAAGTGATTTGTAAAACTTCAAGCTGTGGAAGGCTGGCTGTTATTTATGAAAGCTGAGGAAGAGAAGTTTACCCCACTTGCTACTGCATGTTAGATTCGATGAAGCTCATTTCCTTTTTTTTTTTTTAAATAACAGCTTCATTACCAAGGTGTCTGAGAATTATTTCATGCTTTGCCTGTGGACAAAATGGAAGGAGGTAGATGAGATTCAGGACTGGTTAGAATTGAATGGGGTGGCATTTAAAGTTCATAAATCTTGAGTTAGCCGGGGTCTTAGAAGACATCAAGTCCATCTCACTTACTTTACAGAGGAAGAAACAGAGCTCCAGGGAGCAAATGGCAGAGCTGGAGCTCAAACCTGAGTCCCTTGACTCTTAATTCAGTGATCTTTCCACTGTACCAGCATGATCCTCAGATTGTATAAGAAATCAGTGTCTAAGTCAGGTTATGGGAGACTGGCTTGTGGGAAGTTGTGTAAAAAAAAAAAACAGGGCTGGGGTTGAGGGGTATTTAGAGGCCTGTAGACTTTCTGTGAGTCATCAATGTGGTGGGGATTTTGGAGGGATAGTGCTTGCTGGGGCTGTGATCTGAGAATTATTGGGTTGCCCCAATATTGATGTGGAGTTTAGGTTATCATATGTTTGAAAAAGATGGCTGGTCACATGGCAACCATGAGAAGGCAATAAAGGTCTCAAATACTAGGTGGACCTACTTTGGTGAATTATGGGAAGATGTGGACAGAAGTTGCACAGGGTGGGCAGGAATGGGTGGCTTGGGACCTGAATCACCAAAAAGTATCATCATTCATGAGATTCCAGATTGGGCCATGCCACTCTCCTATTTAATGAAGTCCAACAGTGTCTGGGATAATATATAACCTTCTTTATTTAACTTTAAAAGCCCTTCACAAGTTGGCCCCAATCTACTTTTCCAGCCTCATTGACATTACTCATCGTTCTGTGCTCTGTGAGTCAGCCAAACTGACATTGTTGATTTTTTCACCTCTAAAACTCTATTTCCTGCCTTTTCACTGACCATCCCCTTGCCTGGAATGCTCTCCCTCTTCACTTGCACCTCAAAGTCTCCCTCTGTCTCTTCCAGTCACCATTCTAACATCATCTTCTCCATGAAGCCTTTCCTAACATCTTCAATTACTCATGCCTTCCTTGTCCAATTGCTCTGTATTTAACTACTTTGTCTTTATTTGCATTTATCCTCTTTATTTTTATTACACATGTATTTGCATATGTGTGTGTATAGACTTGTGAACTCTAATAAAAGTAAGTACTAGGCCTGGAGTAAGGAGGAACTGAGTTCAAAGCCAGCTTCAGACACTAGCTATATGACACTGGGCAAGTCACTCAACCCTACTTACCTCAGTTTCATCATCTGTAAAATGTTGTGTAAAATGTAAAATGTAAAAAGAAGGAAATGGCAAACCACTCCAATATCTTTGCCAAGAAAACCCCAAATAGGGTCACAAAGAGTTGGATATGACTGAACCACCTCAACAGTGATGACCCTACAAGTAAGGATTGTTTTATCAGGTATGTACTCTCTTTTTCAGATGAATTTATGGTTAAATCCACCTCCCCCACATTCAACCTATGTAGTTGAATTTCTGAAACCAAGGGTAATACTTTACAGTTATCCCTGTTTACCTTTATCTTGTTAGATTCAACCTAACATTCTAGGCTATAGAGATATTTGGGGATCATGATTCTGTCATGCTCTCTTGCATAACTTTGTGTCTTTTGATAATTGGACTAATGGTATGCATCCAGTTCATAAACATAGGTGGCAAACACCATCATGCCAGACTCAGATCCATGGGGCACTCTAAAAAGACTTCCTTCCCAGTTGACGTTGAATCATGGATGACTCTTTTTTGGATCTAGCCATTCAACCAGTTCCAGATGCACCTAACTGGACTATTGTTTAGCCCACATCTAGCTCTCCATATTTTCAAAAAAGAATAGCATATGAGACTGCCAAATACTTTACTAACATCTAGATCCTGTATATCTATAACATCCCTTAGAATTACCAATCTGCCAATCTTGTTAAATAAGAAAATTCAATTATTCTGGCATGAATTGCTTTTGGGGAAAGCCATCTTGGTTATGATTACCACTTCCTCTTCTAAATATTCACTAACCTTTCCTCTAATAATATATTTATAAGGGATCAAGTAGTTTTTTAGGTTGGATGGAGAGGGAGCAGGGCTGCACTCATTTTTTTAACTTCTGTTTTTCTTTGCAAAGGACATTGAATTTTATACTTGAAAAGACATTACAAAAATGCTAATAATGTTTCAGGGATAAAAGCCTGGTTTATAATTGGCACAACATCAGTTTTCATAGTTTGAAAATTTGGGCATTGACCCTTCTCTGATCCTGCTTCATTTCTGTTGTTCTATTCCAGTTTTCAAAGATTCCACACAGTGGTCCAGGAATCATATCTTCCAGGTCCTCTTGGACCCATCAGCTGAAGGAAAGTGCTCCTTTTCTATCTCCCTATTTGCCTCAGAAATAAAACTTTGTGTTAGCATTTTTCTTCCATTCTTTCCAGTCCAAAAACCCTGTCTTTTGGCAGAGGAAACAGGGATTCAAAAGAATATCCTCACCTTCTCTGCATCCATTCCAAGAAATCATCTTGTTCATTCTTTAGGCATCTTCTTTTCTCCCTAATATAGTTGGGAAAAATATATATTTCTTATTATTATTCTTAGTTTTATTTACTAGCTTCACTTCATCAGCTTACTGCTCAGAATTCTACTTTTAAGGAGTCATGTCACACCTTAGTTTGCATCCTGCATCACCTGCCTTTGCCTCACTGGCGAAGTGAGTTTCTTATGCATCCTCATTGATCCCTTAGGCAAATCCTTACTTTCTTGGTCATCAACCTGTTTCTTATCATATCTTTAGAAATTCACGTTTGAGGTCTTGATTTGCATCAGCAGAGAGAGTACCTATACCAACCAACTTGTAGACATTAGTGTGTTTGACTAAGTGTTCTCTTGACAATGGCATATAAGACATCAATAAAGTATGAACACCACCATTTTAGAATGACTAACATCATGGGTGACCCAAAGAGCATTGCAGAGATATGTGGCCAAAGTAGGTAGGCAACAGCATGTTTCCGTTGATTATTGGAATATGAAAAGTGGTTTAAATTACATTTGGAAGGGGCAGGTAGGTGGCATAGTGGGTAGAGCACCAACCCTGAAGTCAGGAGGATCACAGTGCATTCAAATCTGGCCTCAGACACTTAGCACTTACTAGCTGTGTGACCCTGGGCAAGTCACTTAGCCCTGAGTGCCTCAAAAAAATTACACTTGGAGAAGGAAGTACAGCCAGTCACACAGTGCAAGTAAAGGAAAATAGATGAGCACCCAAAGTTCTTCACTGATTATATATGAATAGGACTAGAAGAAGCTTCATTGGGTGAATTCATTATCATGGGTTTACAAAATGATATAGAAAGGAATTAGACAAATAGAAAAGATAGCCAGAGCTGACTACAAGAATTACTAGCAAGAAAAACCAGGGTGACCTTCTATATGTGGAGTACAGGGGGAAATTTGTAATAATCCACACAGAATAAGTAATTCTTATCTATGCTCAAGGCTGATCCCTTTCCTTGAAGAGAAGGTAAAGGCCCGAGAAATGCCCATGCACATAATCATAGGTGATGGCATTTTCTTAGAAAAAGAGAAGGGAAAAAAAGAACTTCAATGTGAAAGTGAAAAGTGGCAGAGGGGGAACCATGACCCTTATCAGGAGTTTATAGGATATAAGAATATAACCTGAAGGAGAAAAGGAAGAAGGATCACTGCAAACCTGAAGCTAAGAAATGATTTTGAGGCTCTTCTAAGTACTAGGGTATGAGATCACCTAGGTTAGGTTTTCTTAGTTTGTTATATGTCAGAGAACTCTTGGGCAACCTAGTGAAGCCCACAGACCCTGTCTAGGTATGGAGCCAAGATGGCAGAGTAAAAGCAGTGACTTCTTCAACTCTCCCCCAAACCCCTCCAAATACCCATAGACTCTGTCTCAAAATTATAATAACAGTTAGCATTTACCTAGCACTTACTATGTGCCAGGCACTGGGCTAAATGCTTTACAAATCTTGTCTCATTTGATCCTCACAACAACTCTAGGAGGTAGGCGTTATTATTTTCAATTTAAAGATGAGAAAACTGGGGCAAACAGTAGTTACATTACTTACCCAGCATCACACAGCTAGGAAATGTCTGAGATCAGATTTGGACTCTTGTTGTTCTAACTCCAAGCACCCTCCTACTCAGGGATCCTGAAGCATGTAGTTGTCCAACAGAGGGATCTCCAGCTCTTTTCCCTGGGTGGTAAGGAGGGGGAGAGGACATATTCAAGATGAGGCAGAAAATTTGCCAACGCTTGTCAAAATCAGAAAATGAAAATCTCTTTCTGCTGAGTTATGGTGAATCTGACACTGCCTGTGGATCTGTCTGGATGGACTACTATCTTAAAATGAAGATTTGGTCACCACCCAGATGAGGCCACAGAGCCACAGGGATGCAGCTAAGTACCTGGCTGAAGTCAGAGAGTGGGCTAAAGTGCTTTCTTCAGGTCTCTGTGGTTTCCAGAGCTGTTAGAAGGACATTGACAAATTGGTGTCAATCCAGGATATCTGGAGTCCATGGGATATGAGGTTAGTTTAAAGGAACTGGGGATATTTATCCTGAAGAAGAGATGTAATGGGGTGGGGGACATGACTTAACAGTTGTTTTTAAGTATTTGAAGGGCCCTACTATAGGGAAAGGGTTGTTTTATTCTATTTAGGTCCTGAGGGCAGACCCAAGATTGATGGGGGAGGGGATGAAGAGGAAAATTTAGCATTGATGTGAAGGAAAACTTCCTGATAATGAACTTTGTTCAGAAGATGACTTGACTTCTTTAGGAGGTCCTGAGTTGTATTTCATTAAAGGTTTTCAAGAAGGGGCTGGCTGCCCAATTGCTGGCTACATTACAGAGGAATTCCTTTCTGTGTATGAGTTGGATGTGAAGAGGTCCCTTCTTGCTCTGAGATTCTATTGGCCAAGAATCTCTCTTTAAAACCCAAACATTAATCACTGCTTGAGGAAAGCTCGGTTCTGATGTCTTTCAGGGGCTTCTTTGAACATAAGGAACAAAGGTACGTTATTGAACCATTGGGGCTGGCAAAGGACGAAGAGCAGGAGCATGCTCTGTACACATATGAAAGCCAAGAACAGAACCTTCCTGAGACATCCTGTGGAGTGGACATGGTAGAAGAGGGAGAGCCGCTCCTGGAGAAGACTGTGAGGTCAGGCAACAATGCCGTGGTAAGTACGGTGCTTCCCTGCCCTCCCCCCTTTACTATGTTTATCTCAGAAAGGGAGTCAGTCAAAACAATCCTTAAGGTCATCAGGGCCACCCTAACTCACCCAAATGTCTGGGATGCCCTGGGCTGCACAATTGACAACTACAATGCCAGCCAATGACTATCATCATTGAGGTTAACAAGTGTAAGAGTCAGTAATAACAACTGTCCTGAAATTATTGAGAATAATGACATTGAGAAAATTATACAGATTGTACATAAGAAGAAAGAATGATCAATTGGGAGTTGGAGGACCTTACTCTAAATCCCAGGTCACTATTTACTATCTGTATGATCTTGGGCCAGTTGCTTAATCTTTCTGGGCCTCAGTTTCCTCATCTGAAAAATGATGGGGCTGGACTAAAGGATCTTTGATCCTTTTCAGCTCTACTTCTATGATATGTTGCATTTTATTTTACTCCTAGGAGTCAGGAAAATTGAAGGAGAACAAGTAGAATGATGAGGCCCTACATAGTTAGTTTAGTGGGACATGAGGATAGATACACAACATAGAAAGTTCTATCTAAATACCCTTTAGATTATACATGTCTATGACTTAAATGGTGGAATATGCCTTATGTGTTATATACATTAATAGAATGCTCTATGCATATATCAATATGGAATATATATGAATTCATTGAGATGGAACAAGGACATTGCACGCCATTTGAGAGGGACATCAAGTTAGAAGAGAAAAATGGGGACACATTCCCAGTACTTCAAAGTTTGCCCTGAGGTTAACCCTGGTTTGAGCCCTAACTATATGCAATGCACAGTGAGAAGCCTCGAGAGAGATGGGAAAATAAATAAACAATGCCTACTTTTGTGAGCTTACAATTAAATGCTCCATATTTATTTGATACTCAGCTTTCCACAGATACATATTTCATTCCCCCGGTAGAATGTAAGTTCATTGAAGTCAGAGCCTGTTTTCATCTGGTCTTTATATTCTCAGCACTTGACACATAGCAGATGCTTATTAAATTCATTCAGTTGCACATTTCCCTTTTTGTTTATCTTTTCATTAGGCTTATCTAAAACTGAGAGAGGGATATTGAAGTTTCCTGTCATTATTGTGTTACTGTCTATGTTTCCTTTATGAATTTAGATGATAAGGCATTTGGGACACAGAAGATTATTACTGATAGTGGTTTGTTGTCTATATATTTTTCTTGTTGTTTTTTAAATATTTTTTGAATGTTTGGCTTTGCTTTGTTAGATAACATCATTTCAACTCCTGTCCTTTTTTGATGCATTTAATACATAATTTACATAATTTTTCTATCCTCTCAGCTTTATTTTGTGCATGTTTTTATCTTCTTAATGTGTTTCTTTTTTTTCCTCTTTTTCTTTCTTTTTTTTTTAGGCAATTGGGGTTAAGTGACTTGACCAGGGTCACACAGCTAGTAAGTGTCAAGTGTTTGGTCTGAGGCCAGATTTGAACTCAGGTCCCCCTGATTTCAGGGCCGGTGCTCTATCCACTGCACCACCTAGCTGCCCCAAATGTGTTTCTTGTATGCAACAAATTGTATGGTTTTGTTTTCTTATCCAGATCTGTGTTTCTTATTTATTTTATTGAATTGTTTAATCCATTCACATTTAAAGTTATGTTATGTTTATATTTTCCTCCATCTGTCTCTAATTTCTTTTAGTTATGATTTTCCTTTCCTCTTCTTTATTTTATTTTATTTTTTATTTTCACATTAGTCATGTTGTAAGGAAGAATTAGAACCAATAGAAAGAACCACAAGAAAGAGGAAACAAAACAAAATAGAAGAAAAAAAAAAGAGCAAATAGTATGCTTCCATCTGCATTCAAACTCCTTAGTTCTTTCTTTGGATGTAGGTAGCATTTTTCATCATGAGACTTTTGGAGATGTCTTAGATCCCTGCATTGCTGAGAAGGGCTAAGTCTATCAAAGTTAGTCATTGCACAACATGGCTGTTACTGTGTACAATATTCTCCTGGTTCTTCTCGTTTTACTCGGCATCAGTCCATACAAGTCTTTCTGGGTTTTTCTGAAGTCTGTTTGCACATCATTTCTTACAGAACAATAGTATTTCATTGCATTCATATACCACAACTTGTTCAGCCATTCCCCAATTGATGAGCATCCTCTCAGTTTCCAATTCTTTGCCACCACAAAAAGAGCTGCTATAAATATTTCTGTACATGTGGATCCTTTTCCCATTTTTATGACCTCTTTGGGATACAGCCTTAGAAATGCTATTGCTGGGTCAAAGGGTATGCACATTTTTATGGCCCTTTGGGCATAGCTCCAAATTGCTCTCCAAAATGGTTGGATCATTTCACAACTTCACCAACAATGCACTAGTTTCCCAACTTTTCCACATTGTCTCCAACATTTATCATTTTCCTGTTTTATTATGTTGGCCAATCTGATAGGTGTGATGTGGTACCTCAGAGTTGTTTTGATTTGCAATTCTCTAATCAATACTGATTTAGAGCCCTCCTCTCCTTTAAATACAGTACTAAGTTCCTTGAGTTATTTTACCTTAATCTTTTTTTTTTTAATATGGTCCTTTTTCCATTGGCTCTCTTCCCCGACATCTGATCTCTCCTTCTCATTTGTTACTCCTTCTTCTTTGGAGTTTTGATTATTAGCTCCTTTTATCTCTACCTTTTATCTGGTTATATATTTCTTTCCCCCATCTTCCCTCTCAGTCAAGTATATTCCCCTTCTTCTTGTCCCTTTCAATTAAAGTTGTGCATTAGTTTTTAAATTTCATTTTTGCACCCATTTCCAAAAACGATTTCACTCTCTTCATTATTCAACCTCTCTTCCTCCTATAATTATCTGGTCTTTTTCTTTTCCCTTTATTACTTATGCAATCAAAGATTCCAAGGCAACCATTCTAGGCTCTCCCACGTAGGTGGTTTCTGCCACTGCCAAGTGGTGCTTACTCCATGGATACACTTTACCCTTTTTGTCTTACTCCTAAAACAATGACAATTACTGCAGATGTCAGAGATGACACTGCCACATTTCCCAATCACAACCCTCATTATAAGACCTCCAACTGACTTACAGATCAGTATAATATAACTCTTTCCTGGTTATTTTTCTTTTCCTATTTGTCTCACAGTCTCCTCCCTTGTTTGGTGCTCTCCCATTCCCTGAGGTGCCAGTTACACCCAATGAATCCAACTATGGCCCTCCCAATGTAGGATGAGTAGAATTTTTAGACACCAAATCTCACAGACCACAGCCAGAATAAGGTTCCCATTTTCTTTCACAGACTATCTCTCTTCAGCCATAGAGGCATTTATGAATGGAAGCCCTTCCCAGAACCAAAACAAAGCTTCCTTTCTTTATTTTTCTTTTCAACATTCCCCCTCATTTTCTCCTCACCCACTACCTTGTAGGCCCTTCTTTTTCTAAGATCACAGGGGCCACCTTATCCTCATTGCTAACCCTTGATTTGACCCTGGTCCATCACAAATTCCTGCCTCTCCTATTCCCTTCCCCCCTTTTCATATACCCTTCCATATTGTAATACAGTAAAAAAAAACAAGAAACAAAAAAAAAAAAACAATCATTGACTTACCTGTAGGCAGGGCATTGCCAGGTTCTGTCCACAATGCCTCCTGCCTTCCTCTTGACTGTTTCCTCCACTAGTTTTCGGCTTTCACTTCAGTCTCTTTGCATACATTTAAAGAGAGGTCTTTCCACTGTCCTGCTGATGCTGATGCCATCCTTGACTGCTGCATTTATTCACTCCTCCTGAGTTTCTGTTGTTTGGGGATTTTAAGAAACAAATAATCAAATAATCTCAATTTTCTTTCTAAAAATGTTTCAAAGACATCTTTGTAACTGAACATTCATCATTTTTTTCCATGTATGGTAAACTCAGATTTGCAGGATAGGTGAGCCTGGGGAGCATTCTGAGCTCTAGGGCTCTTCAGAACACATTATTCAAGTCTCTACTCCTTTTATTCTGGTGAGTGCTGACTAGTCTTGCATTATCTGAATTTTTTTTTCCTTTGTCAATGAAGGTCTTTTTCCTGATGGCTTGCATAACTTTTTGTTTCTGAATTGAATTATTAAATTTGACCACTGTGTGTCTTGGAGTTTACAGGCTTAGTTTTTTTTTCCTTCTGGATGCAATCTGTTAATTCCTTTAATTGATATTTCATTTTCCATGTTCAAAAGTTCTCTTCTGTTATTTCCTGCATTATAATGTTAATTTTTTTGTTTGTTGTTTTTATTTTGTTTTGTCATGTTCTTCTGGGACATCGTGATCCTTAGGTTGTCCATACACATCTTGCCTTTGAGATCAGTATGTTTTGCTTAGATCAACATATTTTCTTTTAATTTTATTCTTTTTTTTTTGCTTCTCTTCTTCTAGATCGCCCTTTACTTCTGTGTATTTTCATTCCCAATCTATTGTTCTCTCTTTTGTTTCTTTTCTGGTGCTCGGTATTACAGATTCTAGTTTTTCTATTATGACCATTATTTTTGCTAAATAAGCCATAAATTCTGCTGTCATAATTTGCATTTCTCTTTTGAACCACTAGGGAACAGCATGTTGTGGTTCCATGTTCTTCTAAAATTCCATAGGGTCTTCGCCTCATAAAGAATTGAATAATTATCTTTTGTTTTTCAGTATTTATTTATTGATGCTTGAGCTCATTTACTACATTTGGAGGCCAAATACTTTCTGTTGTTACTGATTTAACTTTTGATTTATCTTCTTATATTCCTTTAAAAATATCTTATTTTTAATTTATAGAATAAAACAAGCATTTCCATCACACAGTATGATAAAAAAAATGATTGTACATGAAGCTGCAAATCTATTATGTACAACTTGCTATTCCTTTTAAATATATAATAAAATTATCATATACATTTCTTTTTTTCTTTTTTGTTCTCTTCCCTCCTTCTTAGAGATGTCCAGGATTTTTAAGTTTTCTTCTTCCTAAAATCTTTGGTAATTTCAATCTCTCTCCCCCCCCAACCCCTCCATTATTTTCCCTTCTGCCTTACTTCCTGACTACCTCCCCTCTGATTTTGGTTTCCTTGGAGCCTGGATCTCAGTTTCTCAGTTATTTCCCATACTGGACAATTCACAATTTATCAGCATAGGTCTCTGCCCCAAGGAACTTTTTGGGGGTCAGAATTGGCCCTAGCTGGATGTTGAGCCCTCTCCTCAGGCTTTTGTAATGCTGCACAGCCCCCTTGATCCATGGTGTCCTGTCATGGTGGCCTGCCCCATTCCTTCTGTTCCTTTGTTCTTTAACTTGGCACCGGCATTTTGGAGCTTTGCAGTACTAGTGCTTCTAGGTTGATACCCTTGGTGAGCTTTTGTTCTTGAAGGGCTGTGGCTGATGGATGTCTATCATGACTCAGACAAATTTCCAAAACCTATAATCAGGCTTCCATGGTACTGAAAAGACAGAGGGAGGGCTAGGGTGTGGGTGCTGATTTTTGTAAGCTTGGGTCTCCTAAGTGGCTTTACTGCCAGTAGTAAAATATGGGGGATGAGGGTTGGGTTCTGAATGAACTTATCATTATTGAGCATCAATTCAGGGTGTTTTTTAACCTTTTTATTTCTTTCTTTATTTATTTTGGATTCTGGTTGTCCTAGACCTTGGAGACAACTGAAGTTGTTTTATCTTTGGCACATAATTTCTGTTTTGAAGAGGTTTGAGAGGTTAGAGGATAAGATAAAATGTCTAGTCCTCCATTTTGTTGCTCATATGACCTGGAAACTTTTAGATGCTTATTGTAACATACATACATACATACACACACACACACAAACACATATACATGAAAGATGCTTGTTGAATTGTATTGTTGAATTATATTATTATTATTATTATTTTTAATTTTGTTATTTTTTTTAGGCAATTGGGATTAAGTGACTTGCCCAGGGTCACACAGCTAGTAAGTGTCAAGTGTTTGGTCTGAGGTCGGATTTGAACTCAGGTCCTCCTGACTTCAGGGCTGGTGCTGTATCCATTGTGCCACCTAGCTATCCCATATTGTTGAATTATAAACAGGTGCAGGTGTTTCTATCAGAACACTGGGATAAAAGATGACATATTAATAACTTCCTCCTTATATCTCTTGTTAGAAACAAGAAGACATGAATCAAAAGAAATATATCGAGTATTATTTGGTCCTGGATAATAAAGTGGTGAGTATTCAGATAAGGCAATGTTCTAGTTAATTCTCCTTTAGAGAAAGTGATTTACACAGCTCCTGAGAGAACAAGGGAAAAAGTGTTGTTTGCCTTAATTGAAAGGAGTAATGGTTCTGTGCCACCCAGGCACTAATTGTTCTAAGGAGATAAAGGTAGACTTGAACAATAAGGTGATAACCTGGAGTCAGTGTACTTCCCTTTACAACATCTATGAGATTAGAAAAAAAAAAGTGGTGGCTGTTTTTTTTTCCTAACTCTTATTTTCTTTCCCCATTATTTTATATTTCCCATTGTCATTATAATGACAGATACACATTCTTATTTTTCTTGTTTGATTTTTCAGTTGGCAATGGCTTCCACTGCTCTAGATTCATATTTTCTCTTACATATTGAACTGTCTGTCCAATACATGTGTATCTGTATATACACGTGTATGCACATATATGTATGTATATATGCATGGACATATCTAGACACATAGATATAGTTACATACAATGCAAGGAGGGGGTATAGGGAGCTCTGTGATTTTGGCCATACAGGTGTGTAGCCCCAAAGCAGATGAGTCATTTTTTCTCTAATATACAATCTTTGATAATTTCCTGAGAACTGAGATGATAAATGATTTTCTAAAAGTCACAGAAGCAGGATAGCTCAGAGGCAAGACTTCATCTCAGGTCTTGCTGTGTGCTAGACCAACCCTCTATGTATAGGACATACTACCTCTCCAACCAATTAGTTAATGATCTGGAAGAAATTTATTAACCATATGAAGGAACTAAAAAATTAAACATTGATACATTCATCCCATTTTTTATTTTATTTTTACTTTTTACTTTTATTTTTTTTCTATTTTATTTTTATCTATTTTTTATTAATTTGTTTCTTTTTAGTTTTCAACATTCACTTCCACAAGATTTTGAGTTCCAAATTTTGTCCCCATCTCACCCCTCCCCCACCCCAAGTTGCCATGCATTCCGAATACCCCTTCCCCTAATCTGCCCTCCCTTCTATCTCCCCCCCACTTCTTTTATCCCCTTCCCCTTCAATTTTCCTGTAGGGCAGGATAGATTTCTATACCCCATTTCCTGTGTATCTTATATTCCAGTTGCATGTGAAAACAATTTTTTTCAACATTTGTTTTTAAAGCTTTGGGTTCCAAATTTTCTCCCTTCCTCCCTCCCCACTCACCCTCATTGAGAAGGCAAGCAACTCGATACAGGTGTACATCCCATTTGCCATGTTAGCCTTTTTATCTCTCAGATCTCTTCAGAGTAGGGCCTACCTATTTAAACCATAGAGTGTTGGGTGGCACCATAGCAAAGTTTACCCAGTTGATTATATCATGGATCCTATGTAGGAGTTGGAGATATAAAGATAAAAATTATACAGTCCCTGACCTCAAGCTATTTACAACCTAATAGGAAAAGATGAGACATAGGTAGATCTATTTTGTTGTTGTTGAGTCATTTCAGTCATTTCTTACTCTTTGTGAATCCATTTGGGGTTTTCTTAACAAAGATACTGGAGTGATCTGCCATTTCCTTCTCTAGCTCATTTTACAGATGAGGAAACTGAAGCAAACAGGGTTAAGTGACTTGCCCAGGTTCACACAGCTAGTGTCTCAGGCCAGATTTGAACTTATGAAGAGGAATCTCTATCCACTGTACCACCTAGCTATCCCTGGATAGATAGATAGATAAATAGATAGATAGATAGATAGATAGATAGATAGATAGATAGATAGATAGATAGA